AAGTTTGTGAATATGTTGTGGATATAAGGAACGATTGGAGGCTGTATGGTTTACGTTTTAAGCAAATTGTGTGCCTGATCATATATTTATATTATATATTTTTATTTATGTAGTTCAAACCTTTCCTGTGACCATTTATCATTTTAGCCTGCAATTCCAATGATCTCCGCAATATTTAAAGGTGATGCTGACTTACTGATTAATATTACCGGATTTACAGACGAATCTGTTGGAGATCAACGAGTAACAATAAATAATTCTTCGTGTATTTCAGATGATAAGACTGTCTTTAACTCAACACAGACACCTCAACACCAATTAAACTCACTGGAGGTGTATAGGTAGGTAATAATAAACGTCGTCTAAACAATTTGCAAACGAAAATATTCAACCACAGAAAATAACAGGTTCAAAGCGTTGTTTGGAAGATTATTACAGATGTTACCAGTACTCCTCTATTTGACGTTTCAGATATTGAATTTGATATGGTACACGAAAATGTAACTTTTCTGTTATCTGATCAACAAATGATCAGATTATTGATCATAAAGCTACAAGTGGGTGGTATTGCAAATTCTTGTCACCATGATTAATGCAATATATATCGCCTATTTATGCAATGTCATGCACAGCTTCATAGTAAGCCAAGTAGTAATGCTACTGAGAAATACTATTGAAAGCATCTCAACATCAAGAGAAGTAGACTCACAATCAGAAAGCAAATAAATGGTTTGGAAGTGGCTTCTATTAAAAAGTTTCAATTTAGTGAGGTTGCAGCATTTCTGAAAAATAATTAATCTTTCATTTGTCAATGCCAAGGGAACGGATTTATTGTGAGCAGCAACATATATAACCTCTACTTGTAGTATTCATGAAACCCAGAAGAATATTAGATCCTCTCATTTCATCCACATCTGTAGTCTGTATGATTATGGTAGGCCAGACTCGCCTGGTAACAGTGCTAAACATACAACTGAGTTTTGAAGATCAAAATATTGACTGACCTCTGTATCCACAAATTGAAATTTAAGTATAGGCTCAAGCATCCGACACGAAGCTCGACAATGAAAAAAGTAGACACAGATGGAAGACCAAGTACTATCAAACTAATTTAATTACCAATAAGACTAGGTTTGCTGACAATTAATTGTGTTCTAGCATATCAAAAGCAGTTGATTTGTGTCACAATAAATTCAAGATGGTTGACTGGCCGCCATAGACTATATCGCAATTTCAAATCATAAAGCATGCTTACTCTAACAAATCATAAATTTGTAGCTCGTAATATTAACCAAGAGAAAGTGTGCATGACTATGGAATAAATGCATTTCAAATGTGTTTTTGTGAATTGTACACTTAACTCGTCGATAATTGTAATATTTAAAGGTGAACAGTGTGTTACAGATCATATGTGGGAATGTAACTGAACGACCAGTAAACTGTAGTGTGATAATAATTAATACACAACTATATTTATTTAGATATTAACATGTGCAGCAATGAAATTTCACTCTGCTTACAATAGCCAAACTCAAGTGCAGACGGTATGTTACATTGCATTTTCTTCAAAATAAAACCAAATTTGTTGCTACCTAGGTTTTGTATTACAATCATTTTCATTTCAGATGCAGACGTCGCACAGATTCTGAGCGTGAAGACTTGAAGTCCTGAAATCATTGTGACTACTGTGTTGTGGTAAGTGTAGTTTCAAATTCATGCAAGTTGTGCAGTCTGAATACAAACCATTTCCCCCACCATAAAGTACTTGATTTATTACGTCTGACATGCATTTATTTCAAAATCTACAGACTCCAGAAAATGAAATGTTTCGTAATGAATACAAACTGTACAATGTTAGTGTAGTAGTCCAAATAATATTTCTAATTTTGATCATGCTCTGAGCATGTAAATGACAGTCCAGTATTCAGTTTTGAGTGACTGTGAATTATAAACAGTGAAAGATATAAACAGATATTTAAATGTATGGGGGTGGTAACAAGTACATACTTGTCCATTGAGAATCTTGAATATTAACTAGTAATGCAATATTATTTCCCTGAATAGCTAAAATGAGTATAGTATAACAGTCATGAAACAATATAGTAATATATTATCTGAATATTTTTTTGCATGAAAAATGCAGGTTAAAATATACTTTGAATTATATAAAAATTACAAATTACATAAAATTAAAAAATAATTCTAAGCAAAATGTGGAATACTAGCCAATGTATTCCTCACATCTACTATATTAATCTCAAGGTACCTATAAAAAACATAACATGAATGAGAATAGTTCCCAATTAATAAAGGCAGTAATATATTTAAGCAAACTAAAATACTTGCAATTTATCTCCAAGATCTGTCAATAAGATAACATCTGGTTCTCATTATCAGCAGTATAAATGTCTTCATTCTGTCCACTTATTACTAAGTCTAAAAAAAAGATTTCACTGTACATCTTGAAAATTCCTTTTGGTAGTTACACCAAAATTGAACTTATTTCATATTTCATAGAATTTTAAGATGACCAGATAACCTCAAGAAAACAATTCGAAGCTATAATCTAAACTCATGAATCCCATTTCTGCCTCCACCTTCAAAACTATCGTTATGTTCACTATGAATGTCTCTTCATTGTGTAAAAAAGTTTATTTATTCACTTGCTTCATTGTTTCCCTTGAAAATGGTACTCTATCAACAAGAAATTCAAGTTTGCGAGAATGTTTAACCTTAAATCATAAGTTCACGTCCATCTTCACTAGTTTCACTTGGATATCTACTCGACGTGCGTATCATCTCACTAAGAGACAGCTAAAGAAAGGTAAGACTCTGCCTTCACTTTAGAACCAACCAACAAGTCAAAAAAAGAAAGACAAAAAACTGTTCGAAATAAAATTGACATTCAATCAAACTATGTTGGTTGTGATAAAACAATTTCAAATCAGCTAAAGCATCCTATATATACTGTGACGTAAATTGTAACTGGGAAGTACTTGGAAAAGGGAACAGAGCCCTGGATGTGTGTGTGGAAAGCACACTTGTTTGGATACTTTGCCACAACTCATTGCACATGTTTATTTTTAGACTGCTGATACAGTAGCTGGATTGGGGTGTCAGCAAAATTTGATATACATACGTCCTGTTTCCTTTGGGATAATGGTATGTCCCAATAGTGGTGTGGTGATTGTGAAATACTTTGGAATGTGCTGAGCCCAGTGTTGTTGGCAATGAAATAGATATGACATCATTGACCCGAGTCTCCTACTTTAAATTGGTAGAGCTTGGATTAAAAGTGGTTTATTCCACTAC